ATTCGAGTCTACTTTTACCCCTTTACCTCTAGAGTACCCGCCCGCTGTCTAACCATTTAACCCTGGAATAACCAAATGTAGTAAGTTTGAAAGAAAGGTACTAACTAAGTCACATCGACATCAAACCAACAAGGCTTGACGTTTTATTTTTCCATAGGATTCAATGATAAAGATAAAGTTATTAACACCAAATAAGAGATTGAATAATGGGTAAACGAGACTTGAAACTTTAAAACATTTAAAAGGCAGAACGTTTCGAGCTGTGACTTGCTCATTTTCAGCTGCAAAAAAAAAGGGCGATCGGACTCTGGACGTCATCACTAAATTTTTGACCTCCACACCTACACATTTTGCTTCCCGTCCATAAAACTTTAACACTCATTACTCTCAAATCAACTCGAATAAAGTTCTATATCACTGAAATAAAAAGTTGGCCAGGGGAGCCTTGATCGCAGGTTTTATGCGGATGTACGCATTTACTAAAAACGAAACAAGCCACTAAAACCAGGAAAGTCCGATTGTGTCGGAAAATTAGTATTCATCGAGATTTTTAAATGCTATCAGTGAATGTGCGCGACGATGAGTTAGCTTGTCCGACAGGGCCCTATCATTTTATCTTATCCGCAGATCGCAGGAGCCAACTACTCGGTAAAGTTTGCTACGACGTCGTTCCAAACACCACTCGATATAACTAAATTGCATGAAATAAAATTTGACGCGCCAATATGTCGTGATCTTAAGTTGAGCTCAATAGAAACATAAAAAAGAAATATCGATGAAAGGTACTAGGAGAGAATGACATCAGATTCTGTAGTTTTCAGGGGTAGGTTCCCTATCCCCGAGGATAGAGCTCTCGGCACCATAACACTGCTGTATCTGTTCCTTCAGCTTTAAGGCTAAAAGCAACGGCTGCATGGAGACTTCATCATTCAATGTTTAAAAATTAGTCAAACGTGATGGCGTACTTCAATTTCTCCTTTTTATCAGCTCGTCAGCTTTTCCATAACATTACTTTTTTAGTCGAAAATTGAAGCCAAAAAGTTTCATTGTGTATTACGAATTACGCAACCATCTCAGTGTCACAAATGAGGCGCTGGGTGTAAGAGGGACACTTCTCGATTGCATTTTATCCGAATATTCGCTAATATTTCATTACTTGGAAGAAAAGTGAATGGGACAATTTCTTTGAAATTTTAATTAGAACAAGCTCAGCAACTTAATGCTATTTTGGTTCTTTTATTTGAGTTACTTTTCTACTACCGTGTAGGCTTGAATGGACTTAATTTCTTCAAAATTTTGAATAATGACTCTGGTTTCTTATTACCGCACATTGTACCTGAGCGGGCAGGGCCTCCAACATCAACGTGATTACGTATTTCCAGAGTTGGCAGCAATGTAATGCTATGTTAAACTTGCAATTTTTCACGCCGCGCGAGCCCGGGCTCATAATTAAATCTGACTCCGGGAAACTTTCACCCTCTGCGAGTTGATTCCTTCCAGAAACAGAGCTCCCGTCAAGAAAGAAATTACCCGGCAGGTATTTTGTTTGCTTGCGCAATCAGCCGTTTCTCGCTCCCTTGCGCAGCTGTCACTATCCGACTGTGATAATCAAGTCATTTCGTCGACGCGACGATCGTCCTGATTAAAATTGCGCATTTCGCGACTTGCGACGAAAATTCGACGCGACGAATTTTTCCAGGACTAATTACGAGATGAATAGTGTGGACTGTCGATGGTTACACGTGAGTTCGGTGACGCAAATGCAGTCGTAATTGGGATAGATTTTGCACAATATAGTTGCATGTGTCAGAAATCTGTGCTTTAAGAGGTGATTCCACTTTAAAATTTCGAGAGAAAAACGAGGGTGCTACTCATCATCTGTGAAACAGACCTCAAAACCCAAGAAAGCTTTTAAAGTTCAGGTTAAAATGGATGGGATATCCCACGCTATCAACAATAAAAACACACTAAAATACAAAAAACAAATGGGTTTACAAGGCTAGAGGAGACACAAAACAACCAGGACGTTTCGGGCCAATTACATGCCCATCTCAACTGGAACAGAAGCTATGAGAAATGTGCATGTAATTGGCCCGAAACGTCCTGGTTGTTTTGTGTCTCCTCTAGCCTTGTAAATCCATTTGTTTTTTGTATTTTAGTATGTTTGTATTGTTGTCTGCATTCGGGCTATTGTGTCTCTTGCTCTCTTTTCCCGCGCTATCCTGAGAGTCCACTTCTATATTAAGTCAAACTCTCCATGCAAAGATAGGAAGCAAATACATTAACAGGGTTGCCACTTTGTTAAGGGACTCCAAAACTAAAAACACAACAACCTGGCGAATCTGTTTGCTCCCTACTTTCGCATTGAGAGTTTGACTTACGAATACGATACCTACGAGCTGAATTTTTTTCTCAAATTACAGCACTGATTACTGACATGAGAAACAACTAGGGCAATGCATCATCTGAGGAGAGTGCTCAACGCGAAGGACCCATTTCGTTCCACCTCTGACGTACGAGCTTATCTCTATTTCCACTGGAGCCCCGAAAAGTATAGAGCTATACGGAGGAACGGGCTCAGGTGGAAATCGAGATACGCCCTTGCGCCAGAGAATTGACGGATTTGCATCACATCCAGCCGAAACTATTCTGAAACGGCAGCTTGGAAAAGCATGTCATTGCATGGGAGGAGCAACAAAAACACCATATTCTATGTCATCGATTTTGATTCGCGCTTGGCTCCACTTAACGCAATAAATCCCGGACTATTCAGATGTAATCGTTCTCGAGAGCGAACGCCCCCCCTCCCCTTCTCACCCACGTCGGGTGAATACGCTTTTACGCCGGGCCATACGGAAACGCGAACTGACCGCTGGAAAAACTGAAAAAGCGGATCCCCAAGGCTGAGGCCGAGACCCGTGCTAAGGAAAAAAACCGTATGAGCATTCAAGTGTTGCCAAATTTCCCTCGATAAAAATCGAATTTACTGGAAAAATTGTAAATATTTTATTCAAAATTTTCAGACAATTTTGTGGGCAATTTGATCAGAAATATCTGAAAATTTCGAGGGAAAATATACTTAAATTGCGCCGAAAATATATGTTTTATCGAGGGAAATTTGGCAACTCTTGCATGTTCATACGGCGTTTTTCTTTGGCATGGCAGCGTGGATCTTTCATATCCCTACGTGATGCTCCGTCTATTCTTCGCGGCTCTTTTGTGTAGGTCTTATCGCTCTGTCGCTTCAACTTCGGTTCCGCCTTGGGTCCATGCAAACGTTCTATCGCACCGTGTGTTGACCGGGTTTCTCCGAGCATTTTGACTTGACCGCGTGCAGTCGTTCCGTGTCCTGATCCTGAAACGTTGTTTCCATTTATGGATCAAAGATGAATGTACATTGTCGGCTGGCTTCGAAGGCCGTTGTGTCTCCCAACTACTGGGACCTGATCTATTTGTGTTTACTGGAAAAAAAAAAAACACATTGGATCTAGAGTCCAGACTCTTGAAAACATTGACAAGAAAAAGGAATCTTGATTCAAGCAGATTTAAGCTTAAATCAAAAGGAAATCCGCTTAAGTTAAGAGGCTTGATTCTTGATTTAAGCTGGATTCTGATTGAATCAAGAGTACTTTTTCTTGTCGATGTTTTTAAGAGTCTGGACTCTAGATCCAATGTGTTTTTTTCCAGTGCTTAGTCGTCTAAATGATGAAAAGAATCAAATTCGGTTCTATATTGAAAAAAAAAAATAGAGTCAAATTAAGTACTGAAAGCTTCAGAGTCTTTAAAGAATTAACTGGAGTCATTTTGAGTTGAGCGAATCATGATAAATTTAAATTCGAAGTGAAAGTAGAGTCAAATTTGACTCGATCTTATTCACAATAGGAGAGCAGAATAATAATATTTAAACGATGAAAATGTACATTTTTGCGGGCCTCATAATCCTACACTATTAGTGTCGAATTTTGTATTTCGACAGTGAAATTCCTTAAGCGAGAAGCTTAATTTGTGGCATCATTGACTTCCTGTCATGCTTCATTTCCGTTGTGGAATACTCCTCCACGTCGTGTCTTGAAAACTGTCTAAATTTTGCTTATCTCTACATGAAGAAAGCAACTAAATAAAGTTACTTACTAAGAAAAGTTTAAAAACGACAACGTCAATTACTTGTCTCCTACCTTCGACTTGGTTGCTCACGTTGCTCAGGAAACATCACAGGAAAAAAGACAAACCGAGACAAGCACACGGCGCAGAAATACAACTATTCGTGCTGGATGGATGTCCGTGTTGCGTCTGCAAAATTGAAGGCGCTATGGCACGAGGCGTGAACTCACAATGCTCCGTTATGTTTGTTCACATTCGGGAGAAAAATTACAGAATAAAGGCCCCATAACGTCTTCCATATCTTCAGCCGTGTTGACACTCGATTCATTTTTGTTTCTTCTTTTAAATTTGATGTCTGGTTTTTCCCCAATATGTTAGTAGATTTATTAAGAGCAAATGTTCTGACGGAAGCCTCGGGTCAATTTGACTTGGTTGGCTGGCAGGGTACGTTTCATTGCAAGCCACTTGGACTGCACTTTAGAACAAGGTACAACTATTTCTGGTTCATCCAGAAAAGCACCTATCTGCATAGGAAACAGATAATACACACGCTGTTCCTAAATTGCGTCAGAAATGGTGGTTCCTGATTGCAAATCGTATTGAAATTGCAATTTAAGTGTGGAAATAGGGTAAAAAGGGTCAACCTTCAACGTTAAGTAAAGGATTCCACAAGAACGAAGCGGGTCAAACGTCAAACGTGCAATACTTGAACAATTTATAGAATTTGAACGTCACTTCGGGTGCATATTGAGACATTCGATTCGTGTTTGACAAGTTACTAATAATTGATATGGTAGTCAGTTTGAATGCAAAGCGTAAAATCTTACATAAAAAATACGTTTAAACCTTTTAAAATCATACCATGGTATTGATATCTTCCAATTTTCTTTCTGTTCCAGTTTCTTGAACATTGGAGTAACTGAAGAATGTGTGCTGCCACTAGCTGAATATTAATCAAACTCGGCACGGAAGACAAGAAGTTTCCCAGAAGAAAACGATTTCATGCTTAACAGACACTGTAAAGATCACGCAGGAAAGATGTGCTCAACGAAATTCGAAATGATGGTGGAAAATTTTGTGCGGTCGGGAAAAATCGTGAAAAACTCTTCGCGCGAAGAAAGTGGACAGCCGTTCAAAGAAATTTTACTCCGGAATTTCTTTTTTATATGACCTTACAGTGTTGAAAAGTAATCACGATTGCAGAAGAAACCTCGCAGCAAAAAGTACACGTCATTAACTTGAAATGAAGTACCGATTTTACGTTTCACACACTGATGTAAAAACTACCCGCATAAGTACTTCAAATCGCTCAAAGCTGCAGTGAAGGGTCGTTAATATTCCATTCAATTTAACTCGCGGTTTTAACGTAAACAATATGCGGGAATACAATTTAAAAATCTTCCTTGTGGAAACGTGAAACGTCGCGTAGTGTTCGATGGGCGAAGTGAATTCGGGTCGCGTGGGCTTGTGCAAAAGCGAGTGAATTTGTCGGATTCTCCGGTCGGAAGATGGGTTGCCCGGGGGCGGAAATCCCTACCGGGTCCGGGGTGGGGCTTTGAAGCTTGAGCTTGCGAGCTTTGAGCTTTGAGCCCGTCGGAATGTGAGGCTCGTCGGACGGTGTGAACTTATGAGAATCGCGCGCGATGGCCGAGCCGCTCATGAGCCTGGGGAAAGAAAAGTGGATCCTGAACCTCCTGTGTCGCCTCATCTACACGACCTTCACGACGACCTCGGACAGGATGAACCAGCTCGAGTGCTCCTTCGTCCACCAGACGAACCGGTTCGTCTACCGCAACACCAACGACTCCAACCTCCTCGACCTCTTCGGGGAGCTGTCCCCGCCGTCGGACCTCAACTCCTCAGAGATCTACGATGATCGGACGTTTCTCGATAACAGCACCCTCACCGACGCCCTCATCAACTCGCTCGACAGCGACGTGAACAGTGTCCGGAACGCTAGTTTCCTCTTCGAGTGTTCGGACCCGGATAGCGGGGATGAGCTGGTCTGCGGCCAGGACCTCCGCGTTAACATATCATACTTCAAGAGGCATTTAGTGAGGACGACGCCGTTTCGGTTCCAAGTGGTCATTTCGGCTCGGATACACTCGGGCTTCCTCCTCAACGCGAGTAACTTGTTCATGCACTGCGGGGAGAACACTTCCGCATCCGACGGCTTCTTCACGTGTTACCTCGAGGTATATATAATTTCGGTGGCGTGGCGTGCTTTGCGATATATCGATTGATCGGCTACTTAAACCTACACTGAAAAAAAAAGTAGCTTGGATCAAGCATGATAATTCTTGAATTAGCCGCCAAGAATTTTCTTTATCTTGCTTTAAGCTGACTTTTTCTTGATTCAAGAAAAATAATACTTGGGTTAAGCAAAAAAGTAGCTTATACTAATCAGCAAAATTCTTCATTTAAGAAGAAATACTTCTCGGCGGCAAATTTCAGATTCTTTTTTTTTCTAGTGTATGGAAAAGTATCGATAAACAGGGTGTTCGCAGCGAGCACCTTAATAATCGATTATTTACCACAGCTTCAAATGGGGAAATATCGATGGATCGCAAAGCACACCACGCCACTGCATAAATTTATCCTGGGAAATGATCGCATCCAAACGTACGAACGTCTCGGTTAAAATCAAAATATCTGATTGTTATTAAGTAGAAAGAAAACAAGGAAAAGGAAAAGCGGAAACGAGGCTAAAATACATACGAGCCGAAACAACAGGGTGTTCGCAGCGAACACCTTAATAATCGATTATTTACCACAGCTTCAAATGGGGAAATATCGATAGATCGCGAAGCACACCACGCCACTGCTTAAATTTATCCTGGAAAATGATGGCATCCAAACGTGAGAACGTCTCAGTTAAAATATCTGATTGTTATTAAGTAGAAAGAAAACAAGGAAAAGCGGAAACGAGGCTAAAATACATACGAATATACGGGACGTTTCGGTGTCTCACGACACCATTATCGACTGCTGAAATTAGTAAAATACAAAAATATAAAAGAAATTAAAATCGAAAGAAACCAGCAGGGCGTTACACGGTGATGGCACTTTTTATTTTAATGGACCACTAGACAAGGTACGAATTTAAGCGATCTGATACATGTTTCTTAACCAGAATTTCACGTGGAAAACGATTCACACAACGAAAATTACGGAAACCAACTCCTAACGAAGATATTAACGTTTTTATTTCACATTGGTTACGAGGAATTTGAACTGCCCGCTCACAAGAAACTCAAAACTCTACGTGAGTCAAATCGCCCACTACAACGGTTTCAGCAAGCTTCTCAATCGAGCAATGTTCATTTCCCATCATATGTGTTGTTCAAACTATTAGCAATTTGCTACAACTGAGCCAAAGCGTCAAGATTAAGGTTGCCAGATTTTTATATCGCAGAGACTGTCATGATAACGTTTAGCGCGCGATGTGAATCACGTAGAGCATTGTGTTTTCATGAGCGGGTGGTTTGAATTCACGCATTAAGAATCATTAAATAACTTCGTAAGGAGTTAATTTCGGTAAATTTCGTTGTGTGCATCGTGTTTTACGTAAAATTTTGGTTAAGAAACATGTATCAGAATGCTGAAATTCGTACCTTATCTAGTGGTCCATTTCTTTTTTATTTTTGTATTTTACTGTTTTTAGCGGTTGATATTGGTGTCGAACAATGAAACTGGTGACATATTAATGCGGCTGACAGTTTTCTGGTAAAACTACGATTTGTGGGTGGTGATTTGAATAGATTCACTGATAAAGAGTCAAAAGGCTCGAATGTTTTCAGTTTCCATTGTTATACAGGATTTTTAAAACTATTACAGCATAGAGCGATGATACCAATTGCTGGATTCAAGAACACCATTTTAAGAATATTACAAACAGAAATATCTATCAAAGAAGGAGAGAATTAAAACATGGGTAAATAAGGCTAAAACATTAAAAAAACTAAAATACAGGACGTTTCGAGCTGTTACCAGCTCATTTTCAGCTGCAAAGAAAAACACAAAAAAACAGTAAAAAATTGAGTGGCGACCTAACCCCAGCCGTTATCACAAATATCAGCCAGCCATTATCAGTGTGATAACGGCTAGGGTCAGGTGGCAACTCAATTTATAACTGGTTTTTTGTGTTTTTTGCAGCTGAAAATGAGCTGGTAACAGCTCGAAACATCCTGCCATTAGTGTTTTTAATGTTTTAGCCTTGTTCACCCATGTTTTAATCCTCTCCTTCTTCATTCGTATATTCGGGCTCTGTTTTTGTGCATTATCTTTACGGGTTCGATGGTGATTAACCACCTAAAAATTTTAGAGAAAAGCGCGAGTGAGGGGAAAACTTGACAATACGACAGAGAGAGAGAGAGAGGAACGAGAGCAAAAAAAGCCATTTCGTCACGAATGGCCACCAACAACGTAATAAACCTGTCTCCGTCAAGAAAGATGGATATGTTATGCCGCGTTATCCTAGAAACGGCCGGCGTGCTTGCGGCGGCGCCCATCTACATCTGATCGCGTGAAATATATCGAACGCCGGGCGCGGCGCATAATGCGCCAGACTGCTCGCGGAGGAATCTGGCGACATGGGCGCTTATGGGATAGTGCGTGGCGCACACTGGGTCGAGTCAATAGGAGAGGTCGGACAAAATTTGGCAACTTTAAATGCTTACTACTCCGTTTATACAAAACTTTGAGGTTCCAAAAGTGATTCCATCGGTTTCTTCGTGAAATTTTCTTCTTCAAGCACCCCTTGTAATTTAAAATGTGACGAAATTAATAAATACATTGCGGCAGTTTTAGCTAAAAGTTTCATGTCCGACCTCTCCTATTGACTCGATCCACGGTGCGGCGGCCGCCGACCACCAATCCTAGGAAAACGCGGCATTACTGCCAGTGCTGCCCTGCTTAGGAAAAACGCCGTTTGAACCCTCAGGCGTTGCCAAATGTCCTTTGATAAAAGATGAATTTCCTGGTAAAAATGTGAATATTTTTCTTCCCATTTTTCATATAATTTTGTTCGTAATTTCACCCAAAGTTCCTAAAAATTTCGAGGAAAAATATTCATAACTTGCTTCAAAAATAAACATTTTATCGAAGGAAGTTTGGCAACTCTTGAATGTTCATACGGCGTTCTTCCTTAGCACGGTAGAGTGGTGGCAGTACTCCCATTGTCAACAATGGCTGGTCAACGTCAACATTGGCTTCCAATATTGGTCGATATCAACACTCTGATTAGCCGTTCATGTAAATACGATGGCAGCCCTTCTCGGCCACCGAACGTCTCGACAAATCAATACTATTCTTCGGCTAAATCTTCTGTCAACTTGATAACATTGATTGATTTTTCCAAGGAAGAATATTCACAACTTCTATCGAAAATAAATATTTTCTGAGAGGAAATGCAGGGTGTCTACTAAAACAGGCTGGTCAAAAATGAGTACTTTTACAGTACATTCTCAAAAAATTCAGTACCTCCTCCGACAGAAAAAATCCGTACTTTTTCAGTACCTCCATTTGACGAAATTAGAAAAAAATTAAAACATTTGAAATTGCACCAGAAATGACCAAATATTTTAAAAAATTCCGGAACTTTTCGCGGAATTTCCGCACTTTTTCAGTACTTCCGGACCGTCCTTAAAAAAACAGTACTATTTCCGGGCTTTCCAGACTGGTAGACACCCTAAAATGGCAACATTCGAATGCTCATGCAGCGTTACCACTCAGCACGACAGTATGGTAAGACGGTATTAGAGTACCTCTATAGCGAGAGTATATGGACAGATCGCTTGATGGAGAGCTTAGGGCCCAAAAGTGCAGCCACCCTTCTGAGCAACTTCTAACACACGAAATTTCACTGCCAGCCTATAGATTTCAATTCTAACCAAGATGGCCAAGAATGTACTTAAATGAGCGTTCTTTCGCAAAAATAAGTAAACCTGTGCAAAAAGTAAGCCAATCACATGCTTTATAAACGACGGTTCGTAACAATCGTACTTGTAAATCACTCTGGACATTTGAAATTCATAGGTTGGCTGCATTTCTGGGCCCTAACTTTATTCGCGGAGGCATCGGTGAAGGCCTGATGAATTTTCGGAGTTTCACATATGTCTATACTCTCGCTATACAGGTACTCTAGACGGCATTGTCTTCAATATTGTGGCATTTTGAGAAAAGAAAAAAATTGATCGTTGTTATTATAGGTGGAGAGGCCTGTGCGGGAAGTCGCGGACGAAGATGAGAGTGGGGTGGTGGCGCCCAAGTACGGTTGGTACTTCTTGGTCGTCATCGTCTTCATAGTGGCCGGCGGCGTGGGCAACATCCTCGTTTGCTTGGCCGTCTGTCTCGACAAGCGGCTCCAGAACGTCACCAACTACTTCCTCCTGTCGCTGGCCATCGCTGATCTCCTCGTCAGCTTGTTCGTCATGCCGCTAGGTGCCATACCGGGATTCTTCGGTGAGTGGTAGGAGGCAAACGCAACTGGATTCAGTTCATTTTTTGGACAGATTATGACTGTTGCTTCACCGATGGAATATTAAGCAATCAGATTCTTCAACCAAATCCTGAAGAAAACGAGCCAAGTTTCAAAGTTTCATTGTACCATAATTGTGTACTTTGTACTTTGGCAATTGAGCGCATGTTCACTAGCCTCTTGTTAAGGGGTTGATTTCTAGACTTCCAGTTGTGTGATTCGTTTTCCTCGTAAAATGAAGAAGAAACATGTTGAGCGGTGCTTAAAAACACACCTCGTCCACAGGCCCATTAAGAAAGCATCGGCATGAGCAGATCAAAAAAGTCTGAAAATCATCCCTTACCATACAATATGGTCCATATTATAAAGTTAACAGACTTCGGGTAGCATAAAAAACATCGAAAATGCTAAAATTGAACGTGAACAAACCTAAAATTATGAATCTATTCAATGACTTAAACTTAAAACACCAAAAATAAATAACTACTGATCATATATTTACATGAACATCCTAGAAAAGGTGGAAATCCAGAAATCCTCTACCCCACCGATAAATAGCATTATTATTACTGAACATAGTTTTTTTTTGTGTATGTGTGCGTGTCGCACTAGGTGGTTAAGACACGCTTGATAAAATGTAACTTGCAAAAATATTAAGTGACTAAAATTAAAGATGTTAGAATTTTTAAATGAGCTACATAACTACCAAATTAAGAAGTGACTTCCTAAAAGTTGAAATGTTCAATAATATTATTAAGCGAAAAAGCCATTAAAAATTCTGATCTGCTATTTTCATGGCGCAAAATTTTGTTTTCGTAATGCAACTTCACATCCTTGTACAAAAATAAACTACATTGCTTGCAACTTACTTTTTAGGATACTTTAGAGTATAATCCGTCAAAAGTTCAAAGTCCAATTTTTCGACTTGTTATCCTCGTCGTCCTGAAAATTAACCCTCGAGGAGACTGAAGAGGTGCTAAAAGGTGAAAGGGTGAAAATAAAATATTTAGCCGGCTCCTCTGAACTTGAAAAAGAGTGACTTTTAATGAGGAAAACCGTGGAAATGAAGTTCCTGCTCCGCTTTCAATTACTTTCGGTTGAAAAGTTTCCGCAACGCCCGCACATATATTTGTGAAGGGAGGAAGCAATCTACAAGGGGATGTAATCAGAGGGTTTTTGACTCCCCCATCATGCTTGTTATTATAAATATAAAACGCGTTGTGAACATTGTAATCGAATGTAAGCGTAAGGGAATTCGTTGAAACCACAAGTGCGATCATAATTAGAAGATCTTAAATTTAATTTCGATTAACATTGTAAGAGCTGTCAGATTTTGGCATCTGGTTAGAACGCTTCCAGACAAACTGGACATAAAAGTACGGCAAAAGTTGCTTCAAATGGTAAAGCGATAAGACCTTTTCCGTTTTACATTCTCGTGAGAGAGAATTCGTGACAATGGGAGTCATGAGCCAATTAGAAGGAATTCCACTGGGATTCTTTTCTCTCTTTCTCTAGAGAATTATGCGATAGAAATTGGATTTAAAGAGAAAACAACTTTCGATATTGGAATGCGAAATCAGCAAACGCAAATTTGTACCCCTGGGATAAAAATGCGGTATTGCGGGTGGTGAATTGTTTGCAGAGAAACGAACACAGCAAGATCAGAGATTTCCCAACGATTAAAACGCTGGGTGCAGGAAGGGAATTTCTTGGTTGCGGTGTCTCAGGCTCTCCGTTAACGTTTGTTACTATGATTGGAGCAAATGCATGGGATATATAAAAAAACATTTCCGGAATTTTCTTTATGATTTTACAATGCTGAAAACTGAAACTTTCAGAGGATTCACCCGAATCTTCCCACTCTAAAATATAGGTATACTAATAGTTGCGATTCTGTAACAAAACGCAAGCAAGAATTGCTCTTTCTGTACCCAACACCGGAATTTTCGCGAATACAGCCGCAACTACGCTGTTTCCAGGCGACGCACCAAAAAAAGGATACCTAAATTTAGGTAAAATTTTGATATCAGAATTAACGATTTTACGATCCTAGCTCGCAAACTTTACAATCCACCTTATGAGAATCATGTAGATTTCTACGCTGTTACAATTTCAACTTAGCAAGACAACGTGGCTAGGCATCCAATGCAAATAGATGGACTCTTTGGCATACCATGGCCTTACATCGCGTCATAAAAAATGAAGCTCGAAGGTGTGTCGGTGACAAGAAAGGCACGTTCTCCCATAGATTCAGACTTTTACTAGAGTGACTTAACCCCTGATGGGTTGTATAATATTTAACATTCTTCCCTGAGCTTGCTCAGGCTTCAGCCGAGTGGCTGTAGAAACCCATGAAAGGCAGAGAATGTGGAACACACATTTATTTCGCGTGATGAAAAAATAAAGTTCTTCTTCAGCTCCAGTTTTTTTTTTTTTTTTTTTTTTTTGTCTTTTCACCACATCTTAAAATTTTGGGACTTTGAAACATATAATTAACGTATGAAGTAGGCGTTGAACTAATACTTTTCAACCATAAAGAAGCCGCATAAAAAGAGAGATAAGAAAAAAGAGTCGTGAGGAGTTTTAATCTTTTCGTTTGATCAATGGAATCTAAATTTTTTTTAGTGAAAGTAATTTTGTAAAGGAACTTTTTACACAGAGGCAGTAATACGAGGAGTCTCTCCGCTTTGAAAAAGTGCTTTCGCTCATTTAAATAGATTTATCATTTGATAGAAAACCGTTACAGTCCGCTTTCAAGAGATGGTCAATAGAAGAGTCGTACATATATAAAACGTGAATAAATCCTTTATAAAAAAAAGCTTACTTGATGGGATGTAAAAAACTTAATTATGGTTTCTGACTGTTTATTATAATAACACCTGAACTTACGACGCACATACTGTAAAACTATTCTTCAGAATATCTCCTTACAACCATGAATAATTTAAAAAAATCTAATTTACTTTGCTTCTTTACAGATATTAAACGGAAATTGTAGAATTGGAATCATTAAGACTGAATTCAATAGTTCAAAGTAGAAATTATAGAGAATGCTGGATTTAATTATTTTGAGATTTGATTGCACGCTCTAAATAGTGATTTAATTGAAAAGATTCAGAGGAAAAAAGTTATTACCTAGTTGTACGAGGACGAGGAAAAAATAAAAGTAGCATTTCAACAAAAAACTGGAATCGTTAATCTTAACCCAACGATCAATTAGTGATGATGCCTCCTGGGACGGGTCGCTTCTAATTTCTCACCGTAATGATCTTCCTCAAGATATTCTTTTCCTCGTTGTTGGACATTAAAAAAAAGCAGATGCGTTGAATCATGCGATGAATAATATTTCTTCTGCGGGAAAAAGGACTGAAATGAGTGTAGGGTAAAAAATCTATTTGATAAAAAAGATCCAACATGTTCAGAACGAAAAAATATACTAAAAGAAGTTCCAATTAATCCTCTACAAACACCAAAAATAAAATATAAAACATATCTATGTACATAGAACCGTTCAGAGTAAAATACTCCGAGTCGAACATAAACTGCGGTAGAAACTAATTAATGGAGTGTTTTACAAGTATAGTAGCTCTAAAAGTTCGAGCATGTTAAACTGCTCCCAACTCATGAATGTTTGATATGGTTGCAATTCGCGAAACGTTTTTTCAGATACAACCTGTAAAAGTTCTGATACATCGTGTTCAGGGCTCAAAATTGTTGGATCTAAATGGAACGCTACCTACATTGGCTCGAAAGTGAAATTAATTGATTACGATTCACATTGCAGGATTTCACACTTCTAGTATTCTTGTTTGCAAACTGTGATACCGATTTTTCGACCCAAATTGAATAAATAAAAAAAAAAAAAAAAAAAAAAAAAAAAAAAAAACCCCGCCTGAAAAGGAGCGTAACAAGGCTTGTAACATAGTATTATAGAAAAGGACACTTTCGGCAAAAGCCGAAAGCAATTCAACTTGAAAAGAGGCTCTTGCCGGAGATTAGAATAACTTGTCATTGCAAAAAATACATAATATAACGGTAAATATTTATTCGAGGGTTTGACAAATGTCAAGGTAGACCCAAATCAGCCTGAAAGTTTTCAAGATCATAGAATATTTCCATTGATATACCTGTAGTTTTTTTTAACGGCAAATCAATGCAATCCCCCCTTCCAAGTATTTATTTCCGAAGTCACACTGCTGAAATTTATTCGGAGCTAATAAAAATTAACCTTTTAATGATGCTATGCTTGGAGCCTGCTCGAATTTGATGGATCATTCACATTTCATTTGATTTTGACTGATTTACGATTTTCTTTAAAAACTTTTTTGATTTCTATTTTTGAATTTAGCTGAAAAGACTTCGATGAAATGATAGGTAAATATGATGAACGAAGTTTTAAAATACACATATTACCTTTGACGAGTAAGGTTCATTAACTCTTTCGAGACGGGCAATAAGAGCCTGGAGGCAGATGATGTGTTCAGACGTGAATTTTATCCTAGAGTCTGGTGCCTATTATATTGTTTCACCTGACATAAAGTCTTTCGTAAGCTTTGACAGTCTCTTTCATAAAGTTACGAGACGTCCCCATTGTGCTTGTCGCTAGTTCTCCGCGGTAAACACATGGAAGTAATAAAGTCAACTTTGTTTTGCATAATTTGGCGGGAGGCCGGTTGCCGAATTTCGAACATATCGTCACTCCTCAGGCATATAAAGGGCATATTTCAGTTTACAGGCGAGCCATATGCGAGCTCCGTGTGACTATATGCTTCTTGGGGTTCACGCGAAAATAAAGATACGCCCTCACGTAAAAGGCGCCATAATTTATCGTCCGTTGCTTGTTTTGAGTTCCAAGCGAACATTCTCGAAACTGATGAGTTAACATATTTGCGAGTTTTCTTCATAATTTGACTGATCTCATTTGAATGAACTTAACGATTCCACTTAGACAACAGCCATTTTATTTGCAAAAAATATTGTCGTGTTGCAAACTTTAGATTGAGCGTGATTTTGTTGATGCTAATAATATCGACGGTGTAAGTCGGCAATCACGTAACTCGGTTTGAGACTTCGCAGACTGCTTGTCATACTTTATTTTTTAAACGGAAAAATACTCAAAGGCAATTATTTAAAACTGCCCTAATTTTTCCTCTTTGTGCGGAGAAAATTCTGCATTAACTTCAAGGAATGATGTCAATTTGTTCTCCTTTAAAAAAAAAAAAAAAAAACATAAAGGCGGAGATTTTCAGACCACGCAAACGAGTAATGGGATTGCCGACTTACACCGTCGATAGTCCTTACACGAATTGTGAAATTAGGAGTGTATTTCAGACATTCCTTGTGCGCGCTCATCGCGATTTTTCAGCCATTCTCTGAAAGAAACACATCTTCTTTTTGTTCTAGCCGAAGTTTAAAACCGGCCCTTTCTCGTTTAAAATACAGCAGGTAACACGCAAAAAACAATGGAAAAAAAAAACACATTGGATCTAGAGTCCAGACTCTTGAAAACATTGACAAGAAAAAATACTCTTGATTCAATCGGATTTTTGCTTGAATCAAAAGGAAATCCGCTCAAATTAAGAGGCTTGGTTCTTGATTTAAGCTAGATTCTGATTGAATCAAGAGTACTTTCTCTTGTTGAGGTTTTTAAGAGTCTGGACTCTAGATCCAACGTGTTTTTTTTTCCAGTGAACGTTTCCTCTCCAAGTATTAGACATCACATTGATGTTTTTTCTGCAGGTTACTGGCCGCTGAACATTGTCTGGTGCAACGTGTACGTGACTTGCGACGTGCTGGCGTGTTCGGCGTCGATCATGCACATGTGCTGCATCAGTCTGGGCCGCTACCTCGGCATTCGGAACCCTCTAAAGACGAGGCACACCTACTCCACCAAACGCCTCGTCGGCATCAAGATCTCCCTCGTCTGGGTTCTCTCCCTCTGCGTCAGCGGCTCTGTCACATATTTAGGTTAGTCCCCACTACCACACTGAAGAAAGTTATGGACATGTACCGTCCGTTCTGGGCTCAGAGGTAGACTGACCGAAAACCAGAAAATGTCTTGCTCTGTTTAAGTATCGAACAATTCGTCGTCTCCGGCACGAAGGAACGTAACTCCACTCCAAGGTCGCCAAATTGACTCAAACAATTAACTTATGAAACATAAATATACGTAAGCAATTTTTATCCAAAATATCTCTGTTTTTTGCTTGGGATCTAGAGAAAAATCAGGGAAATTTTCAGTCAGAAATGCCCAAGATTCTCTTGATTAATAGGCAATTTGCCAGGGGAAATTTGGCAACATTGGAATGGAGTTACGTTCTTTCGTTCGGGAGACGACGAATTTTGCAAAAAAAGAAAAAGTAGAATCTTTAATGAACCTGTTTAGCAAAACCAACAAGATATATAACAATATATTACATGTTTGAAAACTAACCTAGTTTGGCTCCGTGTTTAAAATTGTAAAATAAAAATGAATAAAATAACTACAGTTTTCTTACAGATACAAATTTTTTAGAGCAGCCCAAGGCATTATAAGAGTGGAAAAAGCAAGGAGGAAAAACGGGAAACAAGGCTAAGAATACACAATTAATAAAGCCCGAGACGTTTCGACTCAAAACTGAGTCATTTTCCCTTTTTTAAATTTGTATTGTTTCCGACTGAAAATGACTCAGTTGCGAGTCGAAACGTCTTGGGTTTTATTAATTATGTATTTTCAGCTTTCTTACTTGATGCGTATTATCACAAACGTAATCTTCGGACTACAATAATTAGAAAGCTTCCGCACCGACTGAAGCAATTAAACCCGGTAAAAACAGAGCGAGTATGGTTGAAAGCCTTTGCGCGCACGGTCGTTTGCACAAGCGGAGGCAATTCAATCTTCCAAATACGAAGATATCCTTACTGAAGAAACGAGCTGAAAGCGGGTAAGTCATGAAAGAGCAGCCAGGTTTGATGTGAGAGTTCATAAGTTTCGGAATCCTCGCATTCGGCTCGGCTCCCCGAGGCATTAATATCTGCATAAAGCAGAGCAATTAGCACGAGCAACAGGTGCTTTTTCTGCATGACAGGATTTCCACTTTGATAAAACTTCACTGCATATTTCCACCTGAGCGGATTCGTTCGTCCGAAAAGTTTCCCTTCCTTCGAGTCTCCCCGCCAAGACCGACTGACGGACCATCCTTCAATTTCGGGTCGGGTCGTTCTTCAAACGACTCCTTTCCTAAGTAGCCCACCAGGCTGATAGTTGGAATTGATAGACAAAGAAGACATATGGATATGGAACGATCCTCATGGTTGAAATGGGTGGTTCCCATAGACAAAGGGGAAAATGATGGACTAACACCAACTTAGGGTCGTATTCATAGTCGTTCTTCAAACAGCGTCTTTCCTGAGTACCCAAGCAAGCTGATAGTATAGTTAGTATAACTTTGAAAGTGGGTCTTTTAGAAAGCGTTAGAATGATTTACCACTGCAAAAATCTGAAAATATGTTTTATAGGTCAAAATTTTTCACATGAAGCACCTTAAATACTATCTCGTCATCACTACATGAAAATGAAGATAGCTATTAGTAAAAAAAGCGAAAAAAAAGATGTTGGAGGTAATTTAATGAATTAATCTAATTTCTGTGCTAAAAAAAAAGGGCGATTAGGATAGGTCATGGACTGATTGCAACGAGATGAAATTAACTTATTTGAGGTAGGCACATATTGTCTATTTTCGTGTACCTTTTCGGAATCAAACCATAATATAAATGTGCATTGTATGGTGCATTATTCATTCTCTTAATTCAATTTGATATTTTTCTTCTGTATACAGGGGTTTCAAATCCGAGCAACATAATGCCCGACGATCGAGAATGCGTTATCAACAATCGTGCATTCTTTGTTTTCGGCTCATTAGTGGCGTTCTACATTCCAATGCTCATCATGGTAGTTACTTACGCACTCACAGTGCAATTACTCCGGAAAAAGGTGAATGTTTTCATTAATTACTTGCCGAGCAGCATTCCTCAGATGCTGTACAATTATTAAATTCAAATCCCGTGCTTTCAACAATAACTGCATAATGCATGCTGAGCGTTTTAAAAACTCGTTAGTAAGCGTGACGCTGAACGATTTCACATCAGTTTAAGGTTATGCCTGATAAGTGGGACAAATACATTGGAAATCAGACACATTTGTGACTATCCATAAATACGTGGCAAAATAAGAGAAAAAAAATGAGATGTTTTAGTTTTTACGACTTATGAACTACAAAATTTCATGACGATAACACGTGATCGACGGAAAATCATGCTTTCTCGGTTACGGAATCAATATAATTTGTGCTTGCAATGTTTTTCATTTTGAGAGTAAGTCATGTTTATGGAAGATTCACAAAATGTGAAAAACTTACGACGGTAATTTCATTCTTATCTTAACAATTTAATTTAAATTATTATACTAAGTTCAAACTGGTGACACTACTATTTCTTCTGTCATTAAAAGACCATTCTTGGAAAAAATAAGATGTGGCTGGTTGTGACTGAACCCTAATCTTGAGATTCAACCATATTAATTGAAAAAAATGACCACATCTGAGTTCTTGAGACTGGACCTCAACTTGAATCGTGACTGACCGCAAATAGTTGCGTCTGAATCAAATTAGACGAAGGTAATAATAGGTGGACTGAGGATATAATTAGGCACGGACAACTATCTTTTTTTCGGGTTGAGTAACTTATTTCAATCGCCTTAAAAGTCCCCTAATGTTTCAAAGAGTTCCAGTACCTGCCGATAGCGTTCCTTCCTTTCGTGAAAAGGAACAAAGAATGAACATCAGAAAGCGTTTCTGCTTGGGATATAAAGCTTCCTCTCTGCTCTATTTTTCGGGCTGAAGTGAAAGACCGTCTCGGTTCCGGTATTACTCAATTTTTTCGTGCTCACATTGACTGAAAGAAGGGACTCAAGAGATCAGCGTCGGGCTAATTTCCATACGAGTATGCATTTTATTATGCACATGTGCTACCATGTATATTTTTCAGAGGAACGCGCACCAATTCCGAGAAGATTGCACCCCACGAGTCAGGGCCTCTCTGCCGCGCGGAGGAAAAACGCCGTATGGACCTTCAGGCGTTGTCAAATTTACGTTGATAAAATACACATTTTCTGGTTAACTCATGAATATTTTCCTTCTAATTTTTCAGATAATTTTGATCGCAATTTTACCGAAAGTTCCTGAAAATCCCAAGGAAAAATATTCATAATTTGCCTCAAAAATAAACATTTCATCGAAGGAAATTTGGCAACTCTCGAATGCTCACACTGCGTTCTTCCTTACCACGGCAGCGCTGTGCTCTCAAATAGAAAAAGAACCTTGATAAAAATTCAGATGGATGCAAAAGACTTGCCGAGATGGAACACATTCGAGAGACCATCTTCATCATGCAACAAGGCACTGACAGGGCTCAAGTTACAGTACCGTCCGCACTACTACGACATGCGAGAGGGTCCGCGTTGAAATTTCGCTCAAAACATGCTGATCAGGCTTATATCGTCCGTAGAGTCAACTTAAAAATGAGAGATCGGGGTTTATTATAAATAATAAGTTCTGTGTGTTCTAACCCCCCTTCCGGTTACATAAAGTGCAACGAGAGTCGACATAACCGCAGGAAACATATTTACATGTTTCTAAGACAAGAGATACATTCGAGGAACATTTCTTTCCATCTTTGATAGTAGGCAGTCTTTCATTCAGGGTACACTGGTAAAAAAAAAAAAAAACCTCTTGGTTCAAGAGTGCAGTTTCTTGTCGCCGGATTTAAGAGTCTGGACTCTTGTTTCAAGCGGATTTTGAATTGAATCAATGCAAAATCCGCTTGAAACAAGAGTTCAAGACTTAAATCCGGCGACAAGAAACTGCACTCTCAAGTCAATGCACCGCGGCACTGGTCCAAGATGTTTTTTTTTTTACCAGTGTAGGAAAAAAGTAGCTCTCAAAATAAATTCCAAAAATCAATTCAGAGTATTAAACTGCAATCAACTTTTGACTTATGTAGCCTAGGCTTTTTAACCAAGATCGTCTAATATCAAAATCCTAAAAAAAATGGCAACGGCTCGGGGGAAGATGGTCACATTAGTAATATACTTTTGTATTTTCGGCAAGCATGGAATCTGAACTAAGAAACTGAGGTTATTTCTGGCTCGTGGGATGAATTTAGACATTTCGGATGCTTTCGTCGCTTCGTGTTATGCTTGGTATACTGACAATAATACATTTTACTTTAATTCTTTACCCAATCTAGTTGTCCCTTTCAAAATTGGCGGGAAAGTCTCGAGGAAAATGCGTAGCAGCGCATGGATCGTTCATTCATTATGCCACACTCGATAAAATGAGATCTTAAATTATGTGACGTCGAGCGAAAATCTCTATAGTTCCTGTAAGAGTATCAAGGATCAATGATGAATTTAAATGTGGAAAAGATAGGATTTTGTAAAGAGTCATGCAATCTTTAAGGTGAGTTAAGACCTCCGTGATAAGTGACGATGCGGGAAGGCGAGAGTCTAATTTTACAAATTTTGTCGTGATGTAGTTCAAGAATGGTCCCATATTAACTCAACTTCAGGATTCACTTTGAGCTCAAAGGCCGGAGCTTAAATTAGAGACAAAAGGGTTTACTTTGAACAGTTCTCAGGCTTTGCCTATTAAAACCGAAATTGAAACTGTAGGTTACGAGCGAACTTTTGTCTGGAATGGTGTTTCGGTGCCTCTTCTCGTATTAAAACTCTGAAGGAAAGGTAAACTCTTTCTCTTTATCGCGAGGTAAATATTTAGGACTTTATCGACGACTAAGTACCAAACGCTGAGAAATGTTAGAGATCGAGCACCGGATACATTTAAGGGAAATAATTTCAGTGTCAGGCTACGTTCTAAAAAATGATGCAAGAAATTCATTGTCCTCCGTGCAAGTTTCAAATTAGAAGACACTTGGCTTGAAGTACCCCGGCGAGATCTTCAGGATGCCTCCTGAGTGATGAGCATTACTAATTGTGTCACTCACTCTGGGTCCTTGTCAGGAGTAGGTTGAAATACCAGTTCGTGTTTATTTCCTAACAAGATGCGAAGAATCTCCAGTAATGAAATAACCGGTGGGAGGGGCCGCACTGAAAAGAAAATTTCGGTGTATTTACCGAGAAAAGGGTAAAATTACCGAGAATTCAGGGTTCTATTTGATCCCAGTTTTTTTCTTGGTAAAATTACCATTTGTGGTATTGGTAATTTTACCGAGAAATCTCGGTAAAATTTTTGAACTTTCTCGGTAATTTTACTGGACCTTGGTAAAAACGCCAATATTTTTTATCGACTGTGGTAGAATTAACGAGATAAAATGGCAAAGTTACCAGGAATGGATTACCAATAAAAAAGGTATTCTTACCTGAAAAAAACAGTAAAAATACCGTTGTTTATGTAAGCTTACCAGTATGTCTTGGTAAAATTACCAATAATTGGTAAAAAAGTGAGATGGTAAAGGTACCAACGGACCTTGGTAAAAACGCCGAGAATTTTTTTTCAGTGCGGAGCAAACCTCTGTTAAATGATATTCCTTATATACGGTAGATACATAAGACAAATTCTTATTTTAATTAATACGTAAAACTTTATAAGTTACCGCGTCCATGAATTAAAACGTTCTCCTTCTTCAGAAAAAACGTGAAGTTGTGTTACTAGAAGTTGCAAGCAGAGCTCATTTTCACATTTCTACGATGGAACGAAATGGTGAGCATGCTGATTTTGCTTATGATTGCCGGCTATGGTAAAATTCCAAACTTGGTTGATCTCAATAGGAACGCGAGACGAATGTTTCAATTGATTGTTCCTGATTTTATTTTTCAATTCTGCGCGGTATTTCTTTGTATATTCTTAAAATCTGCAAGCGGTATCATTGCCATCAATTCTGCGGATACTTAAAAGAGGGAAAACTAGAATATCAATAGAACCGACATCTTTTTAATCCCTAATCACGGTATCGTGCTCCTATGAACAAGTCCCCAAAATCATACTGTTGACAACATCGACATATGCTAACATTTAGATACTTTAATTGGTTTTCGAACAAGCATGATAACAATATAGTGCTTATCAAGTTATTAGCAAAGCCGATCAGAACTGACTCAACCTGCCTTAATTTTACGTGCGGTATGATATCTATCAATTCCATCCATTACTTTGCTGTTTGCGACATTAGATGGAGCACTGACTGTGAGATGCTAGACGGCGTGATGATACAACTATATCAACTCCGATGTGGCTAAAATTGCATACCCTCGGAATTGAAGGATACCTGAGTTCTCACGTACGATTCGTCGATATTATAATGTTGCGCTGGGCTGGAACGCGCAACCGTGTAGGATGTAGGTGCATAATACTACTTCCACTCCTTGATGGCTCAAAATGCATGAGCGCAACTGAGTTTCTCTCCTGAAATTTAAGCGCAAACGGCAAAAGTTAAAACCTCCATTCCGCTGTCGAAAAATGAGGCAGATATTAAAATCAAAATAATCAGCCGATTAATGGAGGCTTGCATAAAATACTATCATAAATTTCTCGTAAATATATGTAGAAAAGTCTTTCAAAAGTACATAAATGGAGGCTCACCAACTCTTGTTACAATGGAAATTTGCCAGGTCCTAGCTGGAAAAAAACCAAGGTTATCAGTGTACATTCATGAAAAACGACAAAAAGACAAAAATTTCTTGGCGTGGCGGGCGTGTTTTGCGATATATCGACTGATCTGCCATTTAAAACTCAACAGGTTTTACATATTTTGAAACCGATATCAGTATCTATGGGAAGGAATACATTTCCTCATAAGAATTGAGACTGTTTTCAAGAAAAATGAATGCTCAAGATCCTGCTTTATTTTTTTGTGCCTCATTGTAGGATATAATTTTTTCTTTTCCTAGGAGCCCTAAGTTGGGCCGCGTTAAGTAGAGATGAAACCAAGCCACATCAGGTCTGCCGTGATAGCGAAGAGAATAACAGAAAAAGCATCTCAGTATGATCCATCATTAGCACATGCTTTTACGTGTCTCGAGGTTCATGTGCCTTTACTGCTCTCTTCGCAATGCTTACTGGGCAGTCACAAAGGAAAAATGAGCCTTTATTCTCTTTTCTTTATTCCCGCCGAAAACATTGAGTCGAAAAAAAAGTATGGTCAGGAAGCAAGGTTGAAATTTCATCCCGTAAATTGAATCTTCGAAGAGGCAAAACTTCAAACTTCTCTTACTTTGTCTGGGAGGAACGAACCAAGTCTGATTTGATGTGACTTAATTCCTATCAGTTGAACTTTGACTAATTGAGTTATTGAAAAGAGATGCGGGTGCTCTGCGAACAATATTTTCGTGGATAGGTAATGAAAAAAAACAAAAAATCAAGTAAAAAAAAATAAATAAATACCATAGATAATAAGACGCTTGTTTTATCGTCCACCAGCACTGAGTATAAAGACACCAGCAAAAAAATAGAAAACGAGATATCAATTTCACTTAACAAAAAACTTTTTGTTCGGAGAGAGAAACGAAGTCTCTCTGACGAAAGTTCATAACTTTCCTCTTCCTGACGGATGAATGGAGCAGAGGGGCTCAACCTGTGGGGGAAAGCTCGAACTTCACGTTCAGAGGAAAATCTACAGATGGCGGTAGCTGTGTAGATTTACCCTCTTTCATACCGCGCTATTCCCATGTATCATTTCACAGTGTTCATCTCATTCATGGCGCCACTGAATGAAATAGTAAACTTTATGATGCCTGGGTTATAAACTTTGACACACAATAGGGTTATTTCACGAGGGTAAAGTTCCGGAAAAGTACGAAGGGAGACTCGCCTTTATAATCCTTCATGATGTAATTTGAACTAATCATGAGGCAAGAAATACATCAATTTCAAACATGATTTTATCATTCATTCTGTCAAGCCAACATACGTTCGCACCGCATTTTTTACCCCAACCCCCCTTACCCCTTGTAACGCTATTGACGTAGGTCCTATCCTTTAACACGTAAAAACCTCATGGCGTAACCAGGGTGTCTACTAAAACAGGCTGGCCAAAAATTAGTACTTTTACAGTACAACTTCAGTACGTTTCCGAGAAATTCAATACCTCCTCAGCAGAAAAATTCAGTACTTTTTCTGTACCTCCATTCAAGAAAATTCGAAAAATTTCAAAAATTTGAATTCCTCGCTCAAATTCCGACAATAATGACGAAAAAATGAAAAATTCCGGACCCTCTTGTAGAACTTCCGTACTTTTTCAGTACTTCCGGACCGCCCTTAAAAAAGCAGTACTATTTCCGTACTTTCCGGGCTTGTAGACAACCTGGTAGCGCTCTCTTTGACCCCCGCCGCCTCATCGCCTTACGTAATTTAGAGACGGCCCCTTATGAGTAATAAAATTTCCTGATTTGTTCAGGGTTTTTCCACGTAGATGTTTCAGAACTGAAGATTAGATTGAAGTTTTTCGAGAGAAACTATTTTTCTGTCCTTTGACGGTGATGGATAAAAGACTTTCCATGAAGTCGTCACCCTATGATGATTCTTTTTCCAGGCTCGATTTCTTGAGACCCATCCAGGAGGGGAGTCTGAGCCGGTGTTCCGGCGGCTTGGAGGCCGTTACTGCAAACCAAAAGGTGGTGGAAGGGCGACCACTCCGACCTCTGACACCTACGCAGCAGCACCAAAGAGTCGAAAAACCTTCGGCCTCACAGCAGGAAAACTTTTCCGTCCCTCGACACTTTTTGATAGGTAATTATACAACCTACATGTATACAACCTATAAATGTTCCAGCATTCTAAAACTCTTCACCTCTCTTAATTAAAAAATCTATATTTTCGTTTATACTCCCATTTTCAAAATTATTTGTAAAGACGTTAATAGCCTGAGACGCTGAATGTCTTAAAATTATACTAACTAACTAACTGTAACAGCTGAGCCAAAAGGTCGAGATTGAATTTGCGCCAATGTTTCATACTACATTGAAAGTTTCGGTAACGTTTGAAAAGTGCGACTTAACTCTGGTAAATCATGCTTCTTTTATGAGCGAGAAGTTTAAATGAATGCAGAGAAAAAAATTAATACCTTCATTACGGGGTATTTTCAATTAATTTAGTTACACGGTGTTTGATAAAAAAAATTTGATTAGAAAACATGAATCCGAATACTTTAAAGTCGCACTTTGTCGATTGACCCACGAAACGCGATACCAAGCATTTGGACTGCATTTTGCAATTTGGAACTGCAATTGGAACCGTCCAAGTTTGATCAAAGAGAACTCTTGAATGGTGATCATCAGTCATCAACTGGTCCACCACTTTGATCAGGAGAAAATTTTTAAAAAAACAGCAGCCCGTGCATGACAATGGTGCTATCAAAAAACATTGGAGAAAAAACGGGAAACAAGACTAAAAATTACACATAAAAATCCGAGACGTTTTAGCCCAAAGCTGAGCCATTTTCAGTTGGAAGAATGAAACTAAAATATAAAAATTGAAAAAAGAAACTTGGCAACTACACGTTGGCCCACAAAATCAAAACAACAACAACAACAACAACACAAACAAAGGTCTCTGTTTTGATTTTCTGGGCCATCGTGTAGTCTGCAGGTTTCTTTTAGGAATTTTTATCTTTTATTTTTACTCTCCCGACTAAAAATGGCTCAGTTTTGGGCCGAAACGTCTCGGATTTGTATTTAATTTATAGCCTTGTTTCCCGTTTTTTCTCCTATATATTTATTGACTTCGATCAGGATTGGTTCGGACTTTGCACTGGTAAAAAAAACCTCTTGGAACAATGCCGCGGTGCATTGACTTAAGAGTGCAGTTTCTTGTCGCCGGATTTAAGAGTCTTGAACTCTTGTTTCAAGCGGATTTTGCAATGATTCAATTCAAAAGCCGCTTGAAACAAGAGTCCAGACTCTTCAATCCGGCGACAAGAAACTGCACTCTTGAACCAAGAGGTTTTTTTTACCAGTGTGGTCGTATAACTATGGCAATTCATACATGGATTATGTTGACAGGCAATCAAACAACGTTCAGATCGTAAGTTCCTCTCAGTCGCAACTGAACTTCGTCAACGGCGGGAGCAACGTATCGGAGAGCGGATCCAAATCCGGCGTTCCGGTGGTTCCGACCGTCGACGCCAGCGTCTGTGACCGGGAGACCCAAACGCCCGACAACATAGCTCGCGAGACGAGGAACTTCAGACTGAAAACACTAAGACTGCAACTCAACGTCACACCTTCCACTTTAAATTTAAGGTGAGTGCTACCCGCGAAATTTCCTCATTCGATAAATAGGGAGGAAATTGAAACACGGGTGAACGAAACAATTAAAGGCAAGACGTTTCGAACTGTTAACTATTGGCAGTTGCAAAAAACACAAAAAAAAGTAAAAAATAAACTGGCCGACTGCACTGACTTTGGCGCAATGCGAGAAGTATTCATGCAGTCTTGCAGGCGCTAATATAAGTTTAACGCCGGCCGCGCTGTGTTTGGAATCGAACTCGCGTTGGAATGATCGTGGCATCGAATAATAGAGCGGAAGAAGCCCATGCTGTGTTACGCTGCCATATGAGCATTCCAACGTTGCCTTGTTTCTCCCGATTAAATATTTCCTGTAGTAGATAATAAGGTTTCTACTCGCACAATCTCTGTGTCTTTTCGGCGCAATACTCATATATTTTCTTAGACCTTTCGCGCAATCCTAGATTACCGATTCAGCTCAAGCTGTAAACCAAAAGTTGGGTTGGGTTGGTTTGTGTTTCTTTTTTTATATCAACCAAAAGAATAACACAAAAAAAACAAATATTTTTATGAGTGCATCACTAGTCTGCAATCAACCAGGCCCATTTAGAATTTACCACACTTCTAATAATATTCCTATATTTTTTCCCTTTTTTTCTCCCCCCCCCCCCCCGGTGAAGGAAAAACCCAAGATTTAACCACTATCATGTAAAAAATAGTTAAATGAAAAATGTGGTAAGACATAGGAAATGAAAGCGATTCTTAAACTTTTGATAAAAAAAGTGAAACAACCAAGTTTCCTAGAAATTGAAATTTACTAGGGACGCGAAGGAAACAGCGCCATCTAATGTAAATACCACAAACCTGACTCACACGCTGTCTAGAAAAATAAAATAAATGTCTGCAAATAAATGAAATATGATACAAAGAATTTTTCATAAAAAAACTTCGGAGCACCCCAAGATTTTAAAAAAAGCTTCGGTTGAATTTCTTGTAGATGTGCTGAGAAGGCATGGATAGTCGTTTAAATTGATTGAAATCGCTATTTAACCCAATATTAACGCAAGCTGAATTTCCAACAGGTTTCTGGCGAACCGAAACAAACGGCAGAACTTGGCTGCGGCGAACGCTGTGCGGACGGAGCAGAAGGCGTCCAAGGTGCTGGGTCTTGTCTTTTTCACGTTTGTCCTCTGTTGGGCGCCTTTCTTCTCTCTCAACATCCTTTTCGCTATCTGTCCCAAACCAAACTGCCAAGTGCCCGACCACGTCGTCAGCATCTGCCTCTGGCTTGGATACGTATCGTCCACTATCAACCCCATTATCTACACAATTTTTAATCGAACTTTCCGCGCAGCATTCATCAGGTAAGACTTACAACATACTTCTTACCATTACGAATAGGATCGGACTAGAGTATCTGTATACGGAGGAGTATTGCCATCTCAATCCTTTTACTACAGAAAAAGTGTGCCGCTCTCTGATTGGTCGGCTATCACGGAGCTCCAAAGTTGGACCGATGTAAACAAACCCCAGCAGCCCCTCCGCTCCTGGTTTGGCCCAAAGTAAACAAATAAAATGGCTACAAAGTTTCACAGAGTTCTAAACGTGATTTTGGATGTGATAAAATGTTTTAATATCCAACTTCTGGATCGCTTGGACTTCAACTTATGAGGTCTGGATACACGATCAAATTCCGAACCAATTCTGATCAAAGTAGACCTTTCGATGACTGATGGTCACCATGCAACAGTCCTCTTTCGTCAAAATTTGACGGGCCGTCAAATGTCGATCTGAATGGAGTGCCACCATTCATCATTTCCTGCCGCACGAAACATTTCTGTCAAGTTTTCATTTTAAAATTGAGCAAATCAATGATTTTTCGACTGATGACTTCCGATACTTTGATGGTAACTGGTTCGGGAATTTGATTGTGCATCGAGGCCTTAATGGATATTTATGCCAAAAATTGACATTTGAGTAAGATTATCATTCATTTCTCAGCCGATAATACGTGTCTCTCTAGGTCGATTTTGATTACATTGGTCCACCTTTGGTGCTCCATGATAGCCTAAAACTGATAACCCAATCAGAGAACGGCACAGAGGTGGCAATACTCTCTCGGAAAAATTACAGAGCAAGTGAGTAGGCGACCTATTTCTTTGCTTATTTGATTGGACGTATTTCTGCCAAACGGAACCAAAGACAGGTGGAAAAGAAAGGGTATGCTCGTTAGACGAGGGTTGTAGGAATGAATGGGAATCATAAGGCGCCGGTGACGTCAGCGGCAACGAAGCCGCCGCCGCGGTCCCTCGCCTTCCGCTTTAACTCGTCATGAGCCTTGTCCACAACCATCTTTTCCCATGACCATGGCTCATGAGTGCCACATTCAGTTGGCTTATAGTTCCGTTCAACAGAATGTAAACTTCCGCTCTTCTATTTCCGCAAAGAGAATCACGCCCACTTTAATGTTGTTTCTTATGCTTTATGGAGCACAAGCCATCTTTTCCACTCGTCCATAGTTTCGTTTGGCAGAAGTAGTCCAATTAATGGACCACTTGACAAGGTACGAATTTCAGCATTCTGATACACGTTTCGTAACTAAAATTTCACGTAAAACACGATGCACACAACGAGAATTACCGAAATTAACTCCTTACGAAGATATTTAATGATACTTGATGCGCGAATTCAAACCACCCGCTCATGAAAACTCAATGCTCTACGTGATTCACATCTCGCTCTAAACGTTATCATGACAGTCTGTGTGATATAAAAATCTGACAACCTCTATCTTGACGCTTGGCTCAACTATAGCAAATTGCTAGAACAGCACATGGTGGGAAATGAATATTGCTTGATTGAGAAGCTTGCTGAAACCGTTGTAGTGCGCGATTTGACTCACGTAGAGCTTTCAGTTTCTTGTGAGCGGTAGTTCAAATTCCTTGTAACCAATGTGAAATAAAAACGTTAATATCTTCGTTTGAAGTTGGTTTCGGTAATTTTCGTTGTGTGAATCGTGTTCTACGTGAAATTTTGGTTAAGAAAAATGTATCGGATTGCTTGAATTCGTACCTTGTCTAGTGGTCCATTGTAACTGATATTGGGAAAAGGTTTTTATCAGGAGAAGTGAGTTTGTAGCAGTGTCCATTCTGTCTCCTTTGTGACGCAGTTGGATACAATTTGATGTCAACATTTCGAGAAAATCAGAAATGCGAAGAATGGGAAACGGACGCGTACAGTCATATCCTGTCAAGTCCTGTCAGTATCAATGTCACAGTGTTATTGTTACCTCACAATCCGCACAATTTACATAAAACAGATCATGAATTGGACGGAGTTAAACAGGAAGGAACCAAGCCACATCGGGATTGAACCGAGAAAAAGAGGTTTAAAGTTTAGCTCCTGCATAAGACTCAATATAAAAGATAAACTTCAAGTTCAATTTCTGCAAAATTTGCTCCAACAAAACTTTGAATTTTTGGCGATAGATAGTAGAGCAGTGGTTGAGTTCAAAACCACTCATAACTCAATTTTTTCCAAAATGAGGGTTGGTTCCTTTCTGCTTAACTCAGTCCAATTGTGACTCTGCTGACGCATTTACAAGATGAAATATAGCAGGATCGAAACATGAGCATAACTCATTCCACTCTAGACGTTAACGGTTCAACGATTTTGTTACAGGTTACTGCAGTGCAAGTGTCAAAAGCTCTCGAGGCCGCCCAGGTATCGGTCGGTGAACGAGAACAGGAACTCTGCGACGACGCCGGCCGGGGCCGTAGGCAGCGCCGCGACGCTTCCGATCTCGTTGTCCATGCAAGGGACGCCGCTCCTCCAGACGCCTTCCACCACCTCGCACTCCTCGTACCTTGCTCGCAATTGCTATCCTGATAGTTTCAGTGTTCAGGAAGAGACCGAAGAAGAGTAATCCTCCTCAGTGGCGTGGCGCGTTTTGTGATACATCGATTGATCTGCCATTTAAACCTGTGGAAAACTAGATCGTACCTGTATACTTAGAGTATAGACAGATGTGAAGCTCCGAAAATCCATCAGGCCTTCACCGATGTCTCCGTGAATAAAGTTAGGGCCCAGAAATGCAGCCAACTTATGAATTTCAATTATTCAGAGCACTTTACTGATACAATTGTTACGAACCATCGTTTATAAAGCACGAATTTCACTTAGTTTTTGCATAAATTTACTCAATTTTGCGGAAGAACGCTCATTTATGTACATTCTTAGCCATCTTAGTTGAAATTGGAATCTGCAGACTGGCAGTGAAATTTTGTGCGTGAGAAGTTGGTTAGAAGGGTGCCTGCACTTTTGGGCCTTAAACCCTCCATGAAGCGATCTGTCCATACTCTCGCTATATAGGTACTCTATGGAAAACTATCGATAAACAGGATGTTCGCAAAGAACACTCTTATGATCGATTTTTTTACCACGGCTTCAAATGGGGGAATATACAGGGTGTTTCAGACCACCCGTACCAGGCCTTTTTCTCGGTTGGTATAGGTCGTACGAAGTCGGAGACCGCGGGGTTGAATAGGGAATTGACCCCAAGGAATCCGAATTTCGTGGTCCCGAAATCCCCCCACTCCCTCTTGGGGGGTAAAGGGGGGGTCACGATGCTAAAAGTCACGGTTCCCGACCGAATTGCGGATAGATCGCATCAGAATTGAAAAGCACGGAAAATTTCACGTGGAATTGACCCCTAAAAATCCAAAATCAGACCATCCAAGGCCCAAAAATGACCCCCTAAAGAGGGGGACGGTGCCCCCCTCCATAATTTCTCTTTGGTCTCAAAATTGACGTAAATTCTCCAGAAAAAGACGGTTACCCAAGTAATCGACCCCGAGAACTCTAAATTTCATGTTCCCTGAGCTCCTCGGGGTCGATTACATGGGAAACCGTCTTTTTCTGGAGAATCGACGTCAATTTTGCGACCAAAGAGGATTCCTGAGAAATTTTTGGCGGGGGCGAGGCCCCCTTCCTCAGGGGGTTACTTTCTGCCGTTCAGGGGGTCTATTAGAACTCTTAGGAGTCACTTAAGATGTAAATGTGTTCTGCTCCTCAATTTGGACGCAATCAATTTGCGATTCGGAAAGGAGCCCCGATTTCTAAAATTGGGCCCCCCCGTTTACCCCCCAAGGGGGCCTAGAGGAGCTTCGGGACCATGAAATTTGGATTTCTCGAGGTCGATTACCTGGGTAAACGTCTTTTTCTGGAGAATTTACGTCAATTTAGAATCCAAATAGAAATTATGGAGGGGGGCACCGTCCCCCTCTTTAGGGGATCATTTTTGGGCCTTGGATGGTCTGATTTTGGATTTTTAGGGGTCAATTCCACGTGAAATTTTCCGTGCTTTTCAATTCTGATGCGATCTATCCGCAATTCGGTCGGGAACCGTGACTTTTAGCATCGTGACCCCCCCTTTACCCCCCAAGAGGGAGTGGGGGGATTTCGGGACCACGAAATTCGGATTCCTTGGGGTCAATTCCCTATTCAACCCCGCGGTCTCCGACTTCGTACGACCTATACCAACCGAGAAAAAGGCCTGGTACGGGTGGTCTGAAACACCCTGTAGATGGTCGATCATTAATGCTTCGCCATGGATCGTATTCAATACATCAAACGGATGAGATTGTATCGATATCGATTGGTTCGAAACATAAACATGGCCTCAAAAGTAAATTGAGTAATCTGACGGAACGGGTTTTTTGTGATAGATTTTTGATTCGTGTGCGTACTAATTGGCCAAAAGTAGTGAAATCGCTACAAAATTTCTCATTTTCAGTTTTTCTGACAAATATCCTAACATTTTGGTTTGAGGTTATGTTCTATTGTTTTGAACCAAACGATACATCGAACCACTATCGAATACGATCCATTGATGGATTCGTCCTCATTAGAGCTTCCATGCCTCCACTATACTGAAGCTGTAGAGCTACTAGAGCTATAAACATTGTCATTCCTAGACCAGTTTTTTTTTTCCAAAGTAAAGTCCCTAAATGATTCGATGTATCATTGACTGTGAAAAGGCAAATTGTTTGGAAAAGGATAGAAATTCAGGACTTGTTATTTTCTTTGACTCTGCGGATTGTCGCGGATACTACTACCATGTTCAGTAGTAGAATTCTGACAGTGAAACCTGATCTGTGGAACATTGGAAGAAAAAATGATGTTTCATCCTCTCCTGAAATAATCATTAAGATTTCAAGGAATGCTGAGTTAATTTTCTGCCAAAAGTGATTGACACAGTTTTATGGTGGGTCAGATATCTAAGAAAAAAAGTATTTTCCTTTCTAGCAAAATTTCGTTTCAAAGAGTTCAACTTCTACAATTGGGAAAGAAATTTGTGAGCCGTATCCTCATTATTTACTATTCACGTCGATGTTGACTTGTTCCTATTTAATTACTGATTATCACGTCAAAATCCATTCTTTTTACATTTAACATTGAACTGTAAAATTCTACGGGTAGGTATATGAGTCCCAGGCCAAATTAATTAAAATGTGAATTTCACATTAATACTTTTCATTTTGTAATCCTTTGGAAATTCTCATAATTTAAAATTAAATACTAAATCAATTTCTAAGTGACCAAAGATAATACAGAATAACGAAAATCTAATCTGGGTCTATTTCTTGAGAAATGCAAAGATAAAAATACTGGAATTCAATAAGGCAATAATTTAAAATTGAAGATGAGAGGCTGAACTTTATTTGATGTTAACACTTAAAGTTTCTTATTTGTATTCTCTGAACTAAAAACAGAAAGAGAAAAATACTTTTCCTTCTCGACGAGTTACTCAGTAAATAAAAATTCGAAGTTGTTTCGTTGATAAAAGATTCTCTGATTAGCCTGACCTATGACTGAAGTTGATAAAGCACAAGTTGACTGAAGTTGTACGCAGACATTTGCAGGCGTTTAGATGAACAATAATAACCAACACGACGTTTTATGGATTATCGCCTAAAAATAGCGGTTAAGAATCATCTGATTTATTTAGTGTACCCCTCCGTAACTTGATCCTATGATTCATGAAGTGGATCCCTTGGGGTGCCGCCTTCTACAATCAGTTGTGCAGAAACGAATGACTGTACTTATAGCTAATGTTTAAGGAGCTGATATTGTATTTGTTCCTTGTTTGACTTTGTTTCCTGTTAATACTGTTTTAAGTATTGTTGATTTTGATGTTTCCCCTTGATCATATAAAGTTCAAACTTCACACATATAGAGTAATCTGTACAAATTAGGCAATTATTAAAGTGTTTCTATTTAAGTGATTGTTGTAAGAATTTTTTCCTTTATGTTAAAATAAATATTTTCTTTTTCTAACTAGCTTTGTGTCCTGGAATTCCTATTCCTATGGAATGAGACTGCCATACTACTTTGAAACTTGTAACTAATGCTCATGGCAAGAGCTTCCCTGTCTAATTGACAGCGTGCGCTGAGTATGTAGTAGAAAGTAGTACAGTCATTAATTGACAGATAGCGCTATCGACGTGATTATATGAAATTTTGCAACCCTCCGCGGAACCATCGCGTGAATTCTAGTAGAAGCATATTGCCCCTTCGAGCCTCCCCTCCCCTCTCCTGATATCACTCCTTCGTATGGTGATTAGCACCCTGTGATCGGGGTGCATTACACGCCAAGTTCAGGAATGTTGTTCACTCCGCGCCGTCGGTCACTCGTTCGCATTTTCACTCGATTTTTCTAAGGGCAAAATGGAGTCGTAGTAAGAATGATTCTCACTCTGGAATCTTCTAAAATTTCTAACAGTGTACCTATACAGGGTGATCCAAAAGTCCCTTCCACCCCCTCTAGCTTTTTACCTAATTAAGGTAAATATTTGAAACTTGGAACATATTCCTTGGTCAAAGGGGGCTACTTTTCTACAGATCACATGTGAAATTACGCGATCATTGGTTTTAACCCATGTTGACTCTAAAAGATCGACTTTTAGAGTCAAATAGTCCAATTTTGAGCGTTTGATTGCGCGTACACCGCGCTGCAGCACATTAAAGGTACAAAACATGGAAGAAAAAATTAAGGGGGTTGTGGAAATCATTATTTATTTGACACAGAACCACCTTAATATTTAAAAATACTCATTATATTTTCCTTTGATACATTATTTTTTATCAATTACATGAAAATAATCTGTGCAGACTGTGCTAAAATTTCAAAATCATGAATTGAAAAACGCTGACTCCTCGAGTTTAAAAATAAGAGCCTTACATAAAGCGGAGAGACGTGCTGCCGGCGCGGAACGCCCACTGGCGCCTACGAACCTAAGGGGATACTTCACGCATTGCGCAATGCGTGAAGTATCCCTGTTAGGTTTGTAGGCGCCAATGCACGTTTTGCGCTGGCCGCCCGCCTGCCGCGCCGCAGATTGCCACGCTTTGCTCAAGCAACTATTTACAACAGAGGTGTTGCACAGTATCATACGAAATGGGAGGCGCTCCAACATATTAAGAATGACAAGAATCCTTTAAGAGTACGGAGCTTTCCTCACGTCGGCAATCACGTAACTCGGAAAACGCGATTTTTTAGGAGATGGAAAATACTCTCTACATTCCTCATCTTTGAAGGTAGAGGGGAAATAATTCTTGAAGACAGCAGATTAGATTGATTTTCGGCAGATAGAACAAAACGGTAACGATTCTTGGTAGTAGCTATGCTTAAAAAATAAGGGATTAGCCGAGCTACTCTAAAGCTCATACATGTATTAAAAGATCTGAGGTGCCTGCTTAGACGGAAAATATCAAAAGATTCAAGGTTTAGCGATGGGAGGTAGTGTTTCTGCCGTTTCCGCCAACCTTGAATTGGGAACTTTTGAAACCTCATGTTTGAACAGGCACCGTTCATTCTTAATTTTATACGAGATTTAGAGACAATGTGTATCATGTAATCCATAAGGACTACTTCCATAACCAATAACGAGGTATTTAATTCTTGGTGTCCATCGATTCAATTTACCTAGGAAATTGAGCAATATAACAACGAAAGCAGCAGGTTTACGCGAAGTAAGGGGTGGAAAATGCGATAAAAGTTACCCTGTATGGGTGGCGCTCTCCGGTGGAAGCTTAAAGCAACGCGGTT